TGCTCTTTGGTATAATTCCCATAAGAAATTATAGAATAAAATCTATTATACTTTTTAAAGTGAACAATTCCCTGATATTTTGAATGCTCTAAATCTTTTTAGCGGCACTTTGAGGGCGGAACAATTCCATTTTGAGATGAATTCTCGCCATATCACTCCGAAATGCTTCTTGGATAACCGGGAGCGCACTACATATATTATAAAATCCAATCTAAACTTCAGGAATGACAAAGTAGCGACCTTATAAATATGTGGGTATATTTAGGCAAGATTATGCCGCCATATTTCAACGACGTCGTCTGAGAACGCTCATAGTAGTTTCAGCTTTCCAGAAGATATGATGGCGTGCCATTTTCGGCACTAAAATATGAAAATCTTTATAAGCGGATTATTATTTGTTGTTAAATTATAGTAGATATATAAAAGAGATATGTTTTGACATAATATGTCACGTATTATGTCAACATGTCACATATTATATCAAAACCTCAGGTTTTATGTCAAAAAATCACGTATTCTGTCAAAAACCTTTACGTAAAACGTGAAAATATTACACACATGAAGACGTTACGTAGTATACCCATCAAAAGTCTACGTTTAACATAGAAAGAAACGTTAAACGTCAGAATTAAGCCAAAAAGTTAAGTATTATTTCGAAAACATTACTAAAATATAAAAACGTAACATATTACGTCAAGTTGTCACGTTTTCTGTCAAAACGCCACAAAGTACAATATAATAACCTCGCTTATTATGCCAAAACATCCCGTATTATTTCAAAAAACATGTAGTATATAAAAACGTCGCTTAAAATGTATAAACGTCACGTATAAATGTCAAAATGATAAATTATGATAAAAATCAACGTAATAGTTCAAAAAGTAAAGTATTATGTGAAAACATCACGAATGTTGCTCAGGTTTTGAGCTGACGTTAATCAGATCACAGTTAAATTTTCGAGTTAGGTGCGGACAAAAGAAAAGTATAGAGCTTATAGAGATGCAATTCTCTGACATGCCTCTTTATGAAACCAAGCGGTTTCATAGCCTTTCCCCATTTAGGGACAAATTTCACTGAAAAATCATACCTATAAACGCACTCAATAGTTATTTTTCTCTGACATTATTCACTCTCTCAATCAAAATATCCTCTAAATTCTAATTAAAAACGATAGATAGATTATATAGATCGGTAAAACTTGACCACCTAACATTTTTCACGAATAATAATTAATTTATCATTAAAACACCAATTTGCAAAACCCTGGAGGCCGTGAGGACAAGTCAGGGGGTGGAGCGCGAGACAAGTTGAACAGTTAATTAAATTTGGGTAGTCTTTCTAAAATTCTATATTACCCATGATATTAAGAAAATGAAAAGAAACCACTGTAAAATCTGACATTACTACATAAACTTGAAATCGAAGGCTTGAAAGAATGGGATGTAAGCCGTTGTTCAACCGAGCGTTATCAAGCACTGCCTCTCTCCTTCCCTCCCGCTTCCAATCGCAAGCCAGCTAACCGCAGCTAACCAATTGTGACCAGTGTTTGAGATACATACCTCGGCCTAGTCTGCATGTTTTTTTGCGTTATAAGAGTGTACGGTAGTACGGTACGTGTTTTGAGAATTTAATTTCCGAAGTTGACTTTCAATATAGCTTGATTGGAGTGAGAGAAGATATTGTAGTCAATATGAGCTCAAGTATAACGATAGTTTTATCAAATATGGGTTTATTTGTATGTTTAAAGATAATGTCGAAAACCCTCAGTGTGTTATTTGCTATGAAGTATTAAGCAATGATGTAATGAGACCGAATCGTCTTGAAAGACATTTGTCATCTAAGCAGATCACAGTTAAATTTGTCATCTAAACATAACTCTTTTAAGGACAAACCAAAGGATTTTTTGTTACAAAATCTGCAAATTTAAAACGCCTAAAGTTGGATGGTACTTTTTCTATAGGTCAGTCATCAGAAAAATAGCTTGAAGCTTCCTATGAGCGATTTCTGCTTATTGCTAAAGAAAGCAAAGAGCCATATTATTAGAGAGACTCTTGTTAAACCGTGTCTATTAAAGGCAGCTGGTGCAGGTATTATTCTTGAAACGCAGAGTAAGCAAAAGTTATCTCAAATACCTCTTTCTGATAACACTGTGAAATGTCGCATTCATGATATGGCCGAAACCATACAAAACCAGGTAGTTGATTCAGTAAAACAATCGTCATTTTTTGCTATTCAGCTAGACGAGAGTACAGACATAGCACAATGTTCTCAGATAATTCTGATAACGTTCGGTGTATTGACAACAAAAGAATGAATGACAAGCTACTATTTTCTACAAAGTTATAGGCCATGGCAAAAGCTATTGATGTTATTAAAGCAGTGTCAGACTTTTTTAACAAACATGAATTTTCTAAGCAAAAACTTGGAAAAAAAGTTGCTATACAGGAAACTCACTGCGAAACAGAGGAGCAACTACAAAAAAGGGCAAAAGCAAAATACCGGGCTATGAACTATTAGGCGCAACTTACCACCGAACATACGGCACAGCCACATTTGTCAAAGAATATATTGAAAATGCTTCGCTAATCTCTACTTCCACTGATGACTGTATTTATAACTTGGTCACAAAAATCGCTAGCATTACCGTGTCCAACATTTACAAGCCACGTGCTACGTTTTGGCCAGCCCAAGCAATTCAAGTACAGCCTCACCCTGCTGTATATGTTGGAGATTACAATAACCTTCATGAACAGTGGAAGTACAATAATAGTGATGCAAATGGGAATGCTAATAATAAAAGAATAAAATGGACAGAAGACGAACGCCTTACCTTTTGTTTGATGACAAAGATCGAAGAAATTTCAGATCCATCGCATGGAGGCGGGAATACAACCACGATCTATGCTTCGTCTCGACCGACAACAAAGACTTACCTCTAGGGGCTTCACGAAGAGTTCTAACTGATTTCCCACACAGCCAACATCGACCAGTAATAATAGAAGTAGGAACGCAAATCCCTTTAATTAGTTCTATCCCACGTCCAAGATGGAATTTTAAAAAGGCCAACTGGATTGACTTCTCTGTGGATCTAGATAAATGCCTAGGGTAGATTACACCGACTATCAAAAACTACCACCGATTTGTTGGTGCTGTGCTAAGTGTAGCCAAAATACACATACCAAGAGGATATCACAAAGAATATATTCCTGGCTGGTCGGAAAATAGCGAGGAACTATATCAGAGCTTTCTTGAAACTGGCGACCAAGAAATACTCACAGAAATGGAGTATTCCCTCCCCTTCACCAGCGGAGACATATCAGAGGCTCTTAAATGCGTTAAGCCAGCAAAAGCACCAGGATTTGATAATATTCACCTTGAGTTTCTACTAAATTGTGGCAAGTATACAAAAATTTGGCTGGCTCGATTTTTCACAGACATCATGGAAACTAGAAATATCCCACAAGAACTAAAGCGCTCTAAGATAATAGCCATACTAAAGCCAGGCAAACCCGCTGACAACCCAAAAAAACTAGACCAATTGCGCTTCTCTCTGCCATCTACAAACTATTAGAGAGGCTTGTATATAATAAAATCAGTATAGAACTGTTCCAGGTGATCCCAGTCGAACAAGCGAGTTTTCGACCAGAATGAAGCTGCGCGGACCAGGTAATGTCACTCATCACCTACATCGAAGCGGGTTTCCAAAGAAGACTTAAAACTTCAGCGGCATTTATTGATCTCTCGGCAGCTTACGATACACTATGGAGAGAGGGCCTTATATACAAAATTCTCCGTGCAATCCCCTGTAAACAAATAGCACGTTTAAAAGATAGCATGCTTAACGACGGAATGTTTCAAGTAGTGATGGGCACAGATATCAACCCACCAAAGAAACTTAAGAATGGCCTACCACAGGGGTCAGTGCTCTCTCCATTACTATTTAGCTTATATTTAGCAGATATGCCGGAAACACAATCAAGGAAGTTCGGATACCCCAATGACTGGGCCCTCTGAAACATCTGAAGAAGTTCTGACGACAGACTTGTATATATTAAGCAAATATTTTCGCAACTGGCGGCTTTAACCAAATGCATCCAAAACAGATGTTAGTTGCTTTCACCTGAACAATATACTTGCTGGAAAGGAACTCAACATACGGTTTGAGAATACCACACTTTCCCACAACACCGAGTACCTGGGCGTAACACTAGACAGAACGCTATTATTAAGAGTAAACTATTAGCAAACCCCTGCAATTATTCAAATTCCCCCTAAAGTACAGTCAATATCAGAAGAAACATGCTTCAAAGACATCTCTGAAGGATCAAGTTTGAAAATCCATATATCAAACCATTTGGAGAGCGTAATTGTACAATTCCAGAACTATTTCCCAAACACTTGTAACGAGATTATTTACAGAATGTCAACTGATCCATTACATGTCAACATAGACTCCCTACCTAAACCACTTCAAGAAGATGACAATTTTGACATAATGGACAAACCTTCATTTTGGTTAAAATATTTCAAAGTGTGTCCTAATATATTATGGGAAGCTCTTCGTTTATATTTGCCTTTTTCAAGCGCCTATTTACGCGAAAAAGCATTTTTAACACTTGTGGCAATTAAAACAAAGTATCGGAATAAACTTGATGCTGCTAATGATGCATTGTGCACTTACTAAAACTCAGCTATGAATAGGCATACTAGTAAAGAAAATGCAAGTCCATTCATCTGACTAACCAACCTAATATATTTTTCTTTTATTAATAATTTTTATATTTTATGAAAACTGATATTGTTGTATCTTATGGCAGTATAAATAAATGTTTTGTTTCCAATAAAATATTTATTTTTTTTTGTTTTGTTCCTAGGCCCATACAATTTATTGTTAAGGGATGAGGGGCGCAAGAAACTTTTATTTCAACAAAAGTAGGCGTAGTACAAACAAGTTTGGGAACCCCTGCTCTAGACTATAGTTTATGAATTTGTAAATGTCATTTTAAAATTGTCAAAAATATTAATCATGCATATAACCAACCTTTTTATACTTTTGGTCTTTCTTGTAAATTATGGAATATGCACGTCTAGATACACATTAGAAACTAACTATATAGAAGTGCCAGTAGACCATTTTTCCACTGTAGAGACAAGAACATTCAAGTTAAGGTACTTAATCTCTACCAAATACCATGTAAAAGGAGGACCGGCGTTTGTATACACTGGAAATGAAGGTCCAATCGATATATTTGCCCAAAATAGCGGATTTCTATTCGACATAGCACCAAGATTTAACGCCCTGGTAATCTTCATTGAACATAGATACTATGGACAATCCTTACCATTTGGAAACAAATCCTTGACATCTCCAGAAAACTTGAGGTACTTAACTACTTCTCAAGCTTTGGCTGATTACGCTTACGTCATAGAAGATTTAAGAAAAACTTACTTCGGTACCATGTTGACCATCGATACAAGTCCTTTTATAGCTTTTGGTGGGTCTTATGGAGGAATGCTAGCAGCTTGGTTGAGAATGAAGTATCCTTACAGCGTTCTAGGTGCTATAGCTTCATCTGCTCCCATTTGGTACTTTCCGGATTTAACACCCTGCGGTACTTTTTATGAAAAGGTTACTAGTGTCTTCGAAAGATATGGAAAGGAGGAATGCACTAAGATGATTAAAATTGGATGGGATATTATAAACAAAATGTCAAAAACTAAAGCAGGCTTGAAATTTATTTCAAGTTCTTGGAGTCTTTGTAAGAATTTGCAAAATGCACAAGATGTCGAGAGATTACTAGATTGGTTAAGCAATATTTATATCAATCTGGCCTTGTCAAATTACCATTACCCGACTGAATTTCTCACCCCACTTCCAGCTTATCCTGTTAAAGTCTTCTGCGACAAGCTAACAACCTCGTACTTCAACGACTCTAAGAGTTTGATAGAACACTTCGGTTATGCTTTGGAGATATACACCAATTATACAGGAACCAAACAATGCAATAATATTAACAGTACTATAGAAGATCCAAATGAAGTAGCTTGGAATTACCAGTCTTGTACTGAGCTTATAAGACCTACGTGTTCAACCGAAAAGGATATGTTTTTTACAAAGACTTGGAGTTACGATGAATTCGCAAAGTGTTGCTTGACGAGATATAATATAAAAAGCCAGAGACGTAACTGGGTTATTAATGCATTTGGAGGCTTCAATATAAAATATTTTTCCAATATTGTATTTAGCAATGGATTACTTGATCCCTTGTCTTCCGGTAAGATTTTATTTATTGTTCTTATTCCCTTATTCTTCTTTTAGTAGAATTAGGGGTAAATTTTAAGGAAACCAGGAAAACGCTATTTTTGCAATTTTTTTTGTAATTTAAGGGAATAAAACTAAAGAAATTGCTAAAAAACCTTAAAATAATGAAAAAAAAATTGTAAAAAATAGGAAATTACTATAAAAATGTTGTAAAAATATAAAACTACTTACAAAATCATATGAAATATATATATATATATATATATATATATATATATATATATATATATATATATATATATATATATGTATATATAGATATATATAAATATATATATATATATATATATATATAATATATAAATATATATATATATATATATATAAATATTAAAATTTATGGTCTAAACCATTAAAAAAGTAAACATTTTTACAAAAAGTCGTAATTTATTAAAATTATGAAAAGAACTCTGCGCATCTGCATCAATGACGTATAATATATAGACTACGCAGTCCCCTATTCTCGCTATAGAATCGAGTGTCCGAAAGATCTCGGCTGAAGGTTGAAGGTATGTTTATTACAACAGCGGCGTGCTCATTTATAAGTTAATGACAATAATTATTTTTTTAATTAAAATTAAATATTTATGATTTCTTTTTGTTCCCGTCTATAAGAGAAATAATTATTTTGATAAAATAGTATGGCATTTTACTAAAATAGTAAGTAAATAACTATCAACAATTTAAAATAAAATTTGCTTGTCACACAAAATGGAGTACGTCCATGATGTTTTCAAACACAAGATCAACTTCGTGATGCTTCGTAAGAAATCATGAACTTCGTGCATCTTCGTATCAAAACAATAAACAATAACAAAGGTATTCATGTTTTGGACACTTTTTAAAGCGTTCACCGAGTCTATATATTATACGTCATTGATCTGCATAATAATTATAATTTGACATATATTCGCAATGTTGCCACGTTTATAATTGCTTTGTATCGAGTAAAAATGTATAACATATTTGAAATAACAAATTGTAAAAATTTGAAATAACAATATATATGAATTTGAAATAAGAATATATAAGAATTTGAAATGAGAATATATAGGAATTTGAAATAGGAATATATAAAAATTTAAAATAATAGTAAATAATAGTCTTTATGTTACTACTTACCTTTAATTTGCCGGTGGATACAAATTTGCGACAGCGACGAAAAAATGGTGTAACCTTTCGTTTCGAGAAGAAAAAGTTCTCTTAAAGAAAAATTCAGCCAGGTAACCTACAAAGTGCTCGCTTCATACACCGTACTTGGGAATGTTAGACCGAACTTCCCTCCAAAGCCGTTCCACGTTGTTGGTGTGGGTAAAAAAACCACAGCGTTTCAGCGCTTTTTTATGTTTGCTGATACGCTTGTAACACCTAAATCTTTCTTCACTATCCACTTTCAAAACACTGCCGCAAACTGGACATATCCTAGTTTTTTTAACACCCCATGTGAATAAAAAACGTTCATTATTTTATTTTTACAGTCCATTCGAACGCTATCATTGTAAGAAATTTCACATGAGGTGCAACTAGCCATTTTGTTTGTTATAAACAAATACAACTCAACGTTACTAAGAACAAATTATGTATAAAGACCCACCTAAAATTTTTTCAAGTTTAAATATTATTTATAAAAATATTTAAACTTGACAATATCTAATACTATTTTAATATATTTTTTCATATTTAAAATTGATTTGGCAACAACACCTACAAAAGATATTATTGCAATTGTCACACTGTTGCCAAAGTTCGACATACTTTATTCTCGTTAATGAATAGTAAAAAAATAACACCAATATGCCTCTATATTCTTTGATAACACTTAAACTAACCCAATCTAATCCAGCTAGCATAACTTGATTAGATTAAGTTAGTTTAAATAGTTTATACCAAAAAACAAGCTACAATATATATGATGAAATACGAAATAAAAATAATATTTAATGAAGTGCGAAATAAAAACATTATACTTAATCAATTAGTCGACAACACTGCAAACAGGAAATCAAAAGTTGCTTGAAAACTGGAAATTGAAAAGACCTACCTGATCAAACCTTACTCAAAGAAATCTAAACTGTCATATAATCAAACTAATAATTTATGAAACACAAAATATTTTCTTTTTTCTCAGTAGCGATGAAACGCGCAAATCTTCTTAACATATCTTAATGAGAAAACATAACCTGATCAAACCTAACTCAACTCAATCTAAACTGCATATAAACAAATTAATAATCTATGGAAAACAAAATATTTTTTTTTTTCGATGAAACGCGCTTATCTTCTTAATATATCCTAACGAGAAAACATAACCAGATCAAACCTAACTCAACTCAATCTAAACTGCCATGTAAACAAGTTAATAATTTATGAAAAACAAAATATTTTCTTTTTTCTCAGTAGCGATGAAACGCGCAAATCTTCTTAACATATCTTAATGAGAAAACATAACCTGATCAAACCTTACTCAACTCAATCTAAACTGCATATAAACAAGTTAATAATCTATGGAAAACAAAATATTTTTTTTTTCGATGAAACGCGCTTATCTTCTTAATATATCCTAACGAGAAAACATAACCAGATCAAACCTAACTCAACTCAATCTAAACTGCCATGTAAACAAGTTAATAATTTATGAAAAACAAAATATTTTCTTTTTCGATGAAACGCGCTTATCTTCTTAACATATCTTAACGAGAAAACATAACCAGATCAAACCTAATTCAACGAAATCTAAGCTGCCATATAAACAAGTTAATAAATTATGAAAAACAAAATATTTTCTTTTTTCGATGAAACGCGCATATCTTCTTAACATATCTTAATGACAAAACATAACATGATTAATTTATAAGAAACAATATTTTTTGAAAATATGGCAACATTGGTAGAAAAGTGACATGATATGACAACAACAACACAATCAAAATGGTCGAAATATTTGAAAACTAATATCAAAACACGCAATTTTTAAACGAAAATTATAGAAAAAATGTGCATAAAAATAGAGAATCCGCAATTTTTAGAGCATTATAAAGTGTTTTTTTGTTGTTTGTTTGTGTTTAAATGACTGTGGACACTAAATCCATTCGCCAATCTTACAATTTTGAGGTGTAGTGTGTGTGTGTGTGTGTGTGTAGAGTAATTGTCTTGATACTTAGCAAAGTCGACGTCATTGTCTTTGCTAAGAGACGCTAATTGTATCCGAACGTCTGCGGTCCCTCCGGTGTGTACCGATCACACAAGGATAGAAATTATTTTCATTTATTAATTTTTTTTTAATAAACGAAAATTTCCACCCAGGTGGGATTCGAACTCACGACCTTTAGATTTAAAGGCAGGCGCTCTTACCACTGAGCCACAGAGGGGGTTCATTATAAAGTGAGTAGGAAGCCATACATAACAAATATTTCAAGATTTAACTTGTATTTACCGTTCCCGGTTTCCTTGAATAATACGGAATTAGGTTCTGTTCCTTGCTTACTCTGTTTTTTTTTTGCTTATAGCTTTCTTCTAAGCTCTTCCGACACTACGTTTTAATTTTAGTCCCATTGTTTAGGTAGTCTCGCAACTTGTCTTCCTGTAATCTGATATTGATTTTTCCTATTCTTTTTTTTACTAGGACAAGGTGCTGCTAGATTCTTTGTGTTTAGCTTATTTAATTAGCGATCGGTACCGCTTTTAAATTTCCAGCTACTGTTAGTGCGTTAGATTTTTTCAATTAATTCAATTAAAAATCATTTATAGTTAATTCAATTTCAAATGTATTTATGTGTTTTATATTAGCTGATTGATTTATTTATTTATTGATTTATTGAATACGTTTTATTTTTAATACTTAAAAAGCTTGCTAGGGTCAGATTAGTTAGGTTTTAACTAACCAGGATCGAACTTTGGCATTTTTAGATCTTGAGCACTCCTACCATAACCTCTTTTCTTCATTAGGACAGATTGCGAAGGCAAATTAGAAATTAATTTCTCTGCCAACAATCACTACCATAATACGGCAATGTGCACAAATAAAAGAGTGTCGTCAAGCGTTCTTAGATAGCCTGGGTAGATAGAGTTACGAACAATGAAGTACTGAGAAGAATAAGTTAAGAGAAGGAAATTGAACTTACAATTAAAAAAGAAAGCCAGTATATCGGACATGTGATGCGGGGCGAGAAGTATGGCATCCTGCGACTCATAAGGCAAGGAAAAATAGATGGCAGAAGAAGCATCGGAAGAAGACGAATTTTATGGCTTAAGAACCTGCGAGAAGGATTTGGATGCAGCCAAAACAACTATTTAGAGCTACTGCCTCAAAAATTAAAATAGCTATGATGACTGGCACCTGAAGAAAAAGAAGGGTTCTTAAATACTTCTGAATGACCACGGTTCGTTCTGTGTACTGTAACTGATTGTAAAGATGGACACAACATACTCACAGGATAGAAAACAAGGGACCGCTCAAAAATACCTACTTAAAATCCAAAGGGCGAGAGAGATGTGGAACAGCCTTAAAAAAGATAGTCATGATAGCCTTGTGCAGACGGAATAGCCAAAGTCTAATCCCTGTAGTAAAGAAGGAGAGAAATATACAAAATAAAAGGTTTTGAATTTTTTTTATGTAGTTTCATGCATAATATCATCAAAAATTCCCTAGACAATTATTTAATATATACAAATAATATTAATAAACCAGCTTTGTAAAAAATAGTCCAAAGAGAAAAAAATATATAAATTTGTATTATTGCAGGTGGCGTATTACGGAATATTAGTGATACCATTGTTGCGGTCAATATAACCGATGGTCCACACCATGTCGAACTAAGAAACTACGACCCCTCAGACAATAACTACGTTATCAATGCTAGGAAATTTCATATCGCTGCTATTAAGCGTTGGTTGGATGTCTAACATTTTTTCGCAATGGATACTGTTTAGACCATCTAATAAAGTACCTTGATTTAATACTGTGTTTAATTTAATAACGATTTTCGTTTTAAGAAGATGGTTCCAGTTAAAAATGTGGGAGTGGAAGCTTTGTATATCCCTACTGAGCTTCATCGTAGTTTTTCTAACTTATTTTTAGTAGTTTCTCTTCTTCTTCAAAATTATTGCACGTAATCCGCATGACTAAGGGTGTTCTCTTTATTTCCTTGTCCATCCTTTTTCCTTAAGAGGCTTCTTCTTCTTATTGTGCCGTCTCCTTTCGAATGTTGACAATCCAAATGGCAATTGAAGCTTTGAAAACTGCTGCATGAAAGATTTCTGTTCTGCTAAGCGTTTGAAAGTGAGTGCTGTTTTTTTGTAAATACCAATCATGAAGTTGTCTTGAATATTCTCGAATCAGCAATATCTAATTTTAATTTTTTCGAAGTTCTTAAATTACGAAACTTTCCCGTTTTCAACATTTTTTCTTTGCTTCACAATGTTGTTTACCGTACCCAGACTAATACCAACTGTTTGTGCAACCCGTACGTGTACTTGTGATAAAGGACTAATGGCTCACCACCTTCCGCTTCTAATTTCATAAAATTAAATACATTATTTACTATTTTACGACTTTATGCCCTTAAAATTGTATGTTTTTAGTACCGATTTAAAATCCATATTCAAAAATGATTTCACCGACTGTAGGTACCAACTGTAGAATCAATGACATTTGCTCGTCGACGTTTGGCCTATGACTGATCGCTTTAGGTTTACCGAGCATCAGCACCATTGCGCATCCAAATCTCAAATGCAAAGTGAATCCGGTCGTGCTGTACCTATTATATAATTTATTTCAAATTGCCATTTTATTGTCGTCAGATACATCAATAGTTTTCTTTTTTAAACGAAGTCTTTTTACCAAAGAAGATAAAACAGGATTTTTTCTTTTCTTTTTCGAATATTGTATACTCTTTTTCTGGCTAATTTAAGTGCAGCTGCTACCCTCTGAAACAAAGTTAAAATATCAATATTTTTAATTAAAATTAAAAAAATCAAAAATAAAAAATAAAGCTTTATAATAAAGTATATTTAAAAATTTTACTTTTTGTACCTCTTAAACAGATGACAACGGTTTCAACAGTCCCACATTTCTTTTTGCTAACTCAAAGTATTTGACTAAATTTAAAACGAGATTTTGTGCTTGCGAGGTTAAAGTTTTTCCAGGCATAATCTAAAAAAAATCAATAAAATATTTTCTTTTTGTCATTTCTTTCACTTTTGTGGAAACTTAAACAAAACCATTCCTTAACTGCTTGAATGAGGTTAACTTTTCTTCTTCTTTAAGTGTCATCTCCACGACGAAGGTTGGCAATCATCATGACCTTCGAGACAGCTGCTCTGAACAATTGCCTTGAGCTGCAATCAAACCACTCTCTCAGGTTCTTCAACCAGGAAACGCGTCTTCTTCCAACGCTTCTCCTACCCTTTATTTTTCCTTGAATTATGAGTCTCAAGATGTTGTTTCTTTCGCCTCTCATCATATGTCCGAGATATTGCAATTTCCTTTATTTTATTGTATTTTTCATTTCCCTCTATCTGCGTATTCTCCTTAGCATTTCTGTATTCGTGACTTTATCCACCCATGGAATCCTTAACCATCTTCTAAATGTCCACATTTCAAACGCGTAAGTCGATTTATTGTATTCCGGTTTAATGTCCATGATTCAGCTCCATAGTAGATAGCATTCTCCATAGTAGATAGATCCTCCATTTAATTAGCCTTATTCTCAAGGACAATGTCAGATCTTTGCTGCATAATTTTTTTTTCATTTTCACGAAGTTGGCACGTGCTTTTTCAATTCTAACTCTTATTTCTGCAGTATATTCGTTATTTTCTGTGATTATCATTCCCAAGTAGGTATATCTTTTTACTCTCTCAATCTCCTGGTCACCTACCGTTAATATTTCGTTTGTATTGTTGTTCTTGCTAATTTTCATGAATTTAGTTTTTTTTATGTTAAGAGAAAGTCCGTATTCTCCATTATATCTTAATATTTTGTTCATTATTCTCTCTAAGTCTTCCAAATTGTCGGCTATTATGACTGTATCGTCGGCATACCTAATGTTGTTAATTAAACTTCCGATGACTTTTATGTCGACTGTCTCGTTTACCAAAGCTAAGTTTAGCTAAAGTTTAGCCTAAGCATTAAACAATAAAGGCGACAGTATGCAGCCTTGCCTGACCCCTTTCCTTATCTCCACTTCCCCATTTTCTTTTCTCCACTTTCTCTGGCACTTCTCTTTCAATTTTCACATTTGATCGTTGGCTGTAGTAAATTTGATAATGTATAATGATATATATATTAAACCGGTTTTATAGCGTTCTACGCCTTTCCGTTCCTAATCGCCACTCTTTTCTATTATGGCAGTGTTCATCTCTCAAATTTCGTTCCGACATTGCCTTGGAGATGCCTTTCATCCATGTGGTTACTGGTCTTCCTCGTTTTCGTTTTTCTGTGGGGGTCCATTCTAACACTTTCTTGGGGATTCTTCTTTCCTCCATTCGTCTTACGTGCCCGTACCATACTAGCTGTTGTCTTTCAATGTCATCTATGATTGTTCTTTCTATTTCCATTTGTTGTCTAATGTCGTCGTTTCTTATGTGTTCTAATCTAGATCTTCTTGCTGACCTTCTCCAAAAATCCATCTCAGTGGCTAGTAATTTATCCTTGTATTTCTTAGTTAATTGCCAGACTTCAGCTCCATAAGTTAACACTGGTTTTAATATTGTGTTGTAAATTCGTTTTTTATTTTCTGTTCTTATATTTTTTTGCCACAGTACCGAATTCAGGGCTCCTATCACCTGTCTTCCCTTTACTATTCTGTCTTTAATATTTTCTTCGGTTCGTCCTGTGTTCGTTAGTTTTATTCCCAGATATACATATTCCTTACAGCTTGTAATTGTCTCCTGTTCCAGGTTCAGGTTCTCTGTTTCTTCTCTGCCTACACATAGATATTGTGTTTTTTTGGTGTTTACCTCCAGACCCCATTTTCTGTATTCCTCTATCAGTTTCCTTGTCATATATTCAAGATCTTCTTTGTCCTGTGCAATTACAATTTGGTCATCTGCATAGTGTAGCGTATAGAGTATCGTATCTCCTATCGGTAGTCCCATTCCATTGCACTTCTTCTTCCACTGCCTCAGGGCTTCATCAATATATATATTAAATAATACTGGCGATACACAGCATCCTTGCCTTAGTCCTTTAGTGACGAGGAAACCTTTGGATATTCTATTTCCAATTTTAATTTTAGATGTCGAGTTTCTATATAGTTCTTTCAGCGCCTGTATGATAGATACATTTATGCTGGTTTTTTCTAGTACTTCCCATAGTCTATTAATGGGTACCGTGTCATATGCCTTTGTTAGATCTACCATAAGCAAATGCCACTCTTGGGCTCTTGACAGCCTCTTTTCTATTACTTGGGTTATACAGAAAATGTTGTCTATTGTGGATCTACCTGCTCTAAAGCCGCTTTGTTCCTCTGACTCGTATGGATGGTACTCTTCACATATGAGGTCTTTTAGTATTCTTCCGTATAGTCGACTTAGTGTGCTAGTTACGGTAATACCTCTGTAGTTATTTGGGTCTTGTTTACTACCTTTCTTGTGTATAGATGTTATCCATCCCTCTTTCCATGTCTGTGGTACCGGTTCTCCATTTAGATATCTGTTAAATAATATTGTTATTATTTTTGCTAGTTTGTCAGTACCATTTTTTAGTAGTTCTGCGGGTATTCCTTCCGGACCTGGGGCGCGGCCGTTTTTTAATAAGGTTATTGCCTTTTTGATATGTTCCTCATTTATATTTATTGGCTGTCCTGTTATCTCGATTATGTTTTGTGATGTGGTACTGTATTCTGGTCTTTTTTCTACTAATAGTGTTTTGTAGTGCTCTTCCCATTTCATTGTTGTTATGGGGTTTATCATAGTTTCTTCTCTTTTGTTAGTTCTGACATTTTTAATAAATCTCCAGGCTTCCCTAGATTTTCGTCCTCCGATGTACGTGTCAAGCTCCTGACATTTATCTTCCCATTTTTGATTTTTGGCGTTTATTACATCCGTTTTGAACTTACTACGTGCTTGCTGAGATTCACTTTTTTTTTTGTTCGTTTTCTCTGTTATTTAGCCACTTATGGTATACTTCCTGTTTATGTTTTTTCATTTCTTCTAGCTGATCATTCCACCAGTAATTTCTAACTTCTCGCTTTTTCGTTGTGATACCTAAAGTTTCTTGTGCCGCTTTGTGTATTCCATTTATTATTGTTCTGTAGAGATTTTCCGTTGTTTCTCGTTCGTATTCTCTAGGAAGAGCTTGATCCAATCTGCTCTTGTACAAATATTGTGTGCTTTGATTTTCCAAGCTATTAATATTGTAGTGTGGTATATCTATATTTGTAAGCTCTTCGTCATTTTCTGCTCCATTTTGTTGATGCTTATCATTTCTAAATCTAGGTATGTATATTTTCGCTTTAACTAGATGATGATCGCTGCCACATTCTGCTCCTCTGTATACTCTTATGTCATTCACTTTGAGCTGTGTTTTTTGTTTAATGATCATATAGTCAATTACTGATCTAAGGTTTCTGGTGTATTGTGTCCATGTATAGGTGTGGATATCTTTATGTTTGTAGTATCCATTAGTGATTCTAAGTGAATTTCGTTGGCATACTTCAATCAGTCTGTTACCATTATCATTTAAGACGTTTTCACCGAAAGGTCCTGTAACTTTATTGTTTTGTTTGCTGCCCGTTCTGGCGTTAAGGTCTCCCAAAATCACAATTTCTCGTGTGATGCCTATTTGTGATATTGTTTCATCTAAAGACTCATAGTACTTTTCTTTTTCCTCTATTCTAGCATCTTCGTTGGGTCCATACGTACCAATAACTGAGATTCGATGTGATTTTAAGTTTATGTTTATCTTTATTATTCGTTCATTGATTATTTCCCAGCTAGTGATGTTTTTCTTATATTT